TGCCTGTAATCCCAGCTACTCAGGAGGCTGAGGCAGGAGAATTGCCTGAACCCAGGAGGCAGAGGTTGCGGTGAGCTGAGATCGCGCCATTGCACTCCGGCCTGGGTAACGAGCGAAACTCTGTCTCAAAAAAAACAAAAACAAAAAAAAAAGCTGGGTGTGGCGTTGCGTGCCTGTAGTCCCAGCTACTCAGGAGGCTGAGGCAGGAGAATTGGTTGAACCCAGGAAACGGAGGTTGCAGTGAGCCATCGCTGCGCTTTAGCCTGGGCAACAGAGTGAGACTCCATCTCCAAGAAATATCTGCTCACATCTTACTCAATATTAGAGAGTTAGTACTTAATAAAAATGCAGTTTTTGTCGAGATCTTTCAGAAAATAGAAGCCTTTAAAGTGAAGAAGAGGAGCTAGGTGTGCTGGTGTGGCACACATGTAATGCCAGCACTTTGGGAGGCCAAGGTGGGTGGATCAGGTCAGAATCAGGTCAGGACCTCAAATTCCTGAGTTTGAGACTTGCTTGGCCAACATAGTGAAACTAAAAATAAGAAAATTAGCTGGGTGTGGTGGCAGGCCCCTGTAATCCCAGCCACTTGGGAGGCACGGGTAGGAGAATTGCTCAAATTTGGGAGATGAAGGTTGCAGTAAGCTGGGGTCACACCACTGCACTCCAGCCAGGGCTACAAGAGCAAAAAACTTCATCTCGGAAAATACAAAGTATTTTGAGGACAAGCATTACAAATACGAATAGAGTTGTAGTGCCTTTACTTGTATCACAGATACAGTGTACTATTTTGTACTGGAGGAAAACCCTGAAGCAGTTGCTCGAATTTTGTTCAATACCAGAAAATTTATATTGGAGGAAAAACTCTCCAAATGTAATGCATTTGGAGAAACATCTTTTAAAAAACTACAGCTTAGAAAATACCAGAGGCCGATGGGGAGGAAGGCAGGAAATCACACTGCCATGTGTATACCTATGCAGCAATCTTGCATGTTCTTCACATGTACCCTAAAACCTAAAATGCAATAAAAAACCAGAGGCCTCATGCTAAAATACATTTTTTGCAAATGCAGTAAATGTAAAAATAATTTAATCAAAAATTAAGACTGTAAATAGCTAATTCAGGCCAGGCACAGTGGCTCACGCCTGTAATCCCAACACTTTGGTAGGCCAAGGTGGGTAAATAACCTGAGATCAGGAGTTTGAGACCAGCCTGGCCAACATGGTGAGACCCAGCTTCTACTAAAAATACAAAAATTAGCCGGGCATGGTGGCATGCGCCTGTAATCTCAGCTACTCCAGATGCTGAGGCAGGAGAACGTTTGAACCCAGGAGGCAGAAGTTGTGGTGAGCCTGTGATGACATTGCATTCCAGCCTAGGTGACAGAGCAAGACTCCATCTCAAAACAAAAAAGAATTCACAGTAGAAATATCATCTAAGGTACTGACACTTCAGACATTGCACTTAAACAATGCAGAGTATAGAAAATAAAGTTGGTAGATGAATTGTATATAACCTTAAAATAAGTAGAAAATTTTTTGTAGATTTATAATTCAAATTTTTTTCTTGAAAAAATTGAGTTTTTGAAAAGCAAATATGTAATTCAACTCTCAAATTGCTTAATGCTCTTCATTCCTATTGTATTCACATATGAAAGCATGTGATCAATTCTTCATCAGAGATAAGAAATCATTTCTGTTAGGTGGGCATTATTTATGATACTTTCTACCTGAAAGAGTAAGGACATTACTGTAAGATGCATGATAAAAAGCTGAGTGGAGTGGCTTTTTGTGTTTAACTTACAGTATTAAGCCATCATGAGGTAGACATTCAGAGTGATATTCTTCTGCATTATAGTAAGAAAAAGTTATTTTTAATCTTAGTTAAAATCAAAGTTAATTTGTAGCCTATTATTTTACGCTATTGTATGTAATAAAATGCGTTATGTTTAAAACTTTTTAAATTGTGTGTGAACTTAAACTTTTTTTTAACTTGTTAAAACCATTGTGCATTCAATGAAGTGTTTTTATGCCACTTTTACCCATCCCCCCTTACTCAAGGGTTTAGGTAAAAGAGGGTAACTGTATGCTATTTGATAACATAATAGACTAACATTTCTAATAATTATTTTTGCTAGTTGCTTTAAACTGCTAATAAGTTAAAGAGCCTGGGTGCGGTGGCTCACGCTTGTAATCCCAGCATTTTGGGAGGCTGAGGCAGGCAGATCACAATGTCAGGAGATCAAGATCATCCTGGCTAACACGGTGAAACCCCACCTCTACTAAAAATACAAAAAGTTACCTGAGCGTGGTGGCACACAGCTGTAGTCCCAGTTACTCCAGAGGCTGAGGCAAGAGAATCGCTTAAACCTGGGAGGCAGAGGTTGCAGTGAGCTGAGATCACGCCCCTTCGCTCCATCCTGGGTGACAGAGCAAGACTCCATCTCAAAAAAAAAATTGTTTCCAGGGGCCGGGCGCGGTGGCTCAAGCCTGTAATCCCAGCACTTTGGGAGGCCGAGGCGGGTGGATCACGAGGTCAAGAGATCGAGACCATCCTGGTCAACAAGGTGAAACCCCGTCTCTACTAAAAATACAAAAAATTAGCTGGGCATGGTGGCGCGTGCCTGTAATCCCAGCTACTCAGGAGGCTGAGGCAGGAGAATTGCCTGAACCCAGGAGGCGGAGGTTGCGGTGAGCCGAGATCGCGCCATTGCACTCCAGCCTGGGTAACATGAGTGAAACTCCGTCTCAAAAAAAAAAAAAAAAAAATTGTTTCCATAGGTTAGATTTTTTGTTCTATTTTTGATTTAAACGTATTTCTCTTAATTTTTGTGGATACAAAAGTGATGGCATGTATGGCATTTGATACAGGCTTATGATTTTATGCATTAGTCACATCAGGGCAAAAAGAAGTATCCATCAACTCCAGCATTTCTCCTTTGTATTACAAACCAATTCTACACTTTTAGATACTTCAGAATGTACAGTCTTTATTGACTACAGGGTCGTTTTTATGGTTATAATAAAAATTATATACAAGTATACATAAATAATGAGAAAATTCTGAGTTCTGAATAAACATTTTTAAAATCTTATCTATTTTTGGCCAGGCGAGGTGGCTCAAGCCTGGCCTGAACCTGGGACTTGGAGGTTTCAGTAAGCCGAGATCACACCATTGCACTGCAGCCTGGGTACCAGAGTGAGACTCTGTCTCAAAAAATATATTTATAAATGTATATTTATAAGTTATATAATAAATTTATATATACATTTATAAGTGCTTTTATTTATTTGAGCAAATTGGAGCTCATTTATTTATTTAGAAACGGAGTTTCGCTCTTGTTACCCAGGCTGAAGTGCAATGGCACAATCTCGGCTCACTGCAACCTCTGCCTCCTGGGTTCAAGCAATTCTCCCGCCTCAGCCTCCCGAGTAGCTGGGACTACAGGCGTGCGCCACCATGCCCCTCTAATTTTTGTATTTTTTAGTAGAGACAGGGTTTCACCATGTTGACCAGGATGGTCTTGATCTCTTGACCCCGTGATCCACCTGCCTCGGCCTCCCAAAGTGCTGGGATTATAGGCATGAGCCACTGTGCCCGGCCTAGTTAGAGCTCTTTTATATATTTTCAGTAGTGAAATATGGTGTACACAAGACATAAATACATAGACGTATTAGCCATGCCAGTAGAAGTATATTTCGTAGAT